GCCAATATTCATCGGTACATCCATCCATCCGCACATAGATGCACGCGATCAAAACTACTCTTTGACAAACAAAAAAGCCATAATCGTATTGGTACACCCAAACGAGAAAGATACACTTCAACAAAAAAAAAAAAAAAAAAAAACAATTCTCATAAATACGAGGTGCATTTCGAAATGTAACTGATTCACATTATGTCGAATCGATCAATATCACCTTATTTTGGCAGACAGAACCGGTTTGCAGATATTTCTGCTGTGATTTTGTCAAACCCAAATTTCTATTGGATGAATATGAAAAATTGTCTCCGATGCCCCAGTTTGTGTTGACCTCAGTGCTCAGCAAATGCTCCAGCCATACATTTGCTGGACTTTCTGCAATATTTAAAAATGTTCCTTATTTCCTTAAATTCCAGCCAGACCACAGATGCCTATGTTAGAATGGGTCTAATTAAGTTCTAAGGATTGAAATTAAACCCCCCTAAACCCTGCAGGTTTATCAACATCTATGAACACGACCTATTTGTTCTTTCTTGAGTGTGGTATAGCCATTTAAATTCCTAATTTGAAATTGCTATTAATTGCTAAATTGCTACATCTATTGGGTCTACAATTTAGTATAGCTTCCAGTTCCTTAATTTTTCAACCATTTCGGCTGTAGTATAGAACTTTGAGTGCACGATCTCTCACTTATAAAAAAAATTAGTGACTGACGGAATGATTCATCAACGCTCAGGCGCATCAACGCTCAGGAGATTTGGCATGATGGTGGGTAGGGTCAGAAAGGTCTGGATTTTTGGAAATTCAAACTAGAAGCGCCCTAAATTTCGCACATTATGGAGAACGGTACCATAATTAAGCTGATACGTAAGGGTGTTATGCGGAAGTGTTTTTTTTTTTTTTGAAATATGTGCTCGGTTGGTAAATTGTACTGAAAACGGTATATTTGCTTTTGGGTTAAACGGACTGATCTGGAAATGTAAAATGTTGGTGGATAGGGTTAAGATGAAGAGTTGGATGTGGAAATGTATTCAGCAAGCGTACGAAAGGTAATGAATGGTACACAATTAAATATTAGATGGACGGATACTGCTTAAAATCTGAAATCTGGAATTCGGATCACTGTTAGTATATAGGTTTGAGATTTGAAGGGGGTTTTGGAAATACGTACTAAAAGGTACAACATTTGGTATTTGGTAAAGGAATAGAGCTGAAATCTTGACATTTGATATTGAGGTCACTGTATACAGGGTGAGATGGAAAAACCTGCAACTAACTTCAGACTGTTGTCAATTGTAAGCCACTCGTCCGACAGCTGTTAAAATTATTCCAGTGACACCCCATTATATTGTTTACAAGCGTACAAAAGCATTTTGGTGAGAATTTTCCTGAAAAAAGTTATTGGTAATGGAATTCAAGCGTAATAGTGTGATTTATTTATATTTGACTGGAAAACCACAAGTGACTATCGTTAGAGCACTCCAGCATTTAAATGTGAATAAATCTTTTTTGTCTCGTACCATCGCTCGTTACCGTGATACTGGTAGCGTAGCCCGACGTCAAGGAAGTGTACGGAAGAAAACAGCAACATCAGCTAAAATGGTTCGAAAGGTAAAGAGGCGACTTGATCAAAACCCCTGACGCAGTGGCCGAAAATGGCACGTGAGCTGAACATATCGTAATATTTCATTCGGCAAGTATTGAAAAATTAGCTCGGGGTAAAGCCATTGAAATTCCAAAAAGTGCAAGAACTTTCACCGCAACGGACAGAAAATAGACTCAGAAGAGCTAAAGAGTTGCTTCGCTTGGCCGAATGTGGTGAACTGCCAAATTTGATTTTCTCCGATGAGAATACATTCGTTGTCCAGCAGTTTGTAAACAAAAAAATGATTGTGTTTACTTGCCAAAGAGGTCAGCTTAAAATGATGGTGTGGGCCGCCATAACAGCCGATGGTCGCTCTCCGCTCGTATTAATCGACCGTGGCATCAGAATAAATGCCGAATATTATCGTGAAAATATTCTGGAGGGTGTATTAAAGACTTGGGCACGCAAACATTTTGGCCGCAGTCCTAGAAAATTCCAGCAGGACTCAGTACCATCGCACTCAGCACGTGCCACCCAAAAATAGTGACAAAATGAGGTTCCTCGCTTCATTTCCAGCGCACAATGGTCACCAAAATCTCCGGATGGCAATCCGTTGTACTATTGTGTCTGGAGAATTTTGGAAAGCAAGGTTAGCCCTAAAATACCAAATTGTCGATCAGCTCAAGCAAGCGCTTAGCCGGCAATGGGCCAAAATACCGCAGAGCAACATTCGGGCAGCGTGTGACGGTTTCATTGGCCGTTTGAAGTCCATAATTCGTGCCAAAGGTGACCAATTAGAACAGATCTAAACTTATTCTAAAATTTGATGCTATTTTCGACATTTTTTGCTTAAATTCAATAAAATTTTAAAAAAAATGTAAAAATTATGGCGCGTGACTTTTTTTTATCTCACCCAGTATTTATTACTGGACCATTCCTTCGGAACCTACGCCATAGAGGGTCAACACCTTCAATAATCATAACAAACGTCGAAATATATTTAAATAATCGAACATAGTCTGAGGGTATACATCTGTCGGTAAACCCGACTGATACTTTTTAACTTGTTATATCTGCCTTAAGTCAGGAGTAAAAGTGGGCAACTGCTTATGTACTTCACCCCAAATATTGATTCATCAACTCCTTAAAAACAGGTTTAGACCCGACAAAGTAGATATATTCTTGATCAGTATAAAATTCAATGTCGATTTAGCTAAGCTCATCCCTTTGCCTGTGAAAATCATTCTAGCTTCCGAACTAACCTACGTCACTAGATTGATCAGAATTTAGTTATAGTTTTGACCCGAATTTGTTGTAAATTGACATTTTATGTTCCCGATATGTAGGAAACATTCATGGAATCGGTACCATACAATGGTATCCCCAATATTCGGCATTTTAATGATTTTAACCAAACAAATACAACAAATCGGATGAACAATATATATGGGAGCTATAGCTATATCTGAACCGATCTTCACCAAATTTGCTATACTAGCTTCTAGACTCAATTCGGTCGTATGTGCTAAATTTCATCCCATTTGGGTAAATATTAGACGTTTGGTGCACAATAAATTTTAAATCGGACGAAGTTATAATATGGGAGCTATATCCAAATCTGAACCGATCTCGATAAAATTTAGCAAAGGTATTTCTGAGCTGCATTTGATATATTCCCCAAATATTGTTGTTACAGAGTGCATATTACGGCTGCGGCTGCATATTACGGCTGCGGAGGACAAAAATAACAAATCAGATGAACAATCTGTATGGGAGCTATAGCTATATCTGAACCGATTTCGATCAAATTTGGCATACTTATTTTCAGGCCTAATTTGGTTGTATGTGCAAAATTTCATACTATTCGGGCAGATATTACACGTTTGGTGCACAATAAAAGGCAAATCGGACGAACATATATATGGGAGCTATATCTAAATTTTTACCGATTATCTCCAATTTCAATAGGGTTCGTCCTTGGGCCAAACAAATATTGTTTGGAAAATTTATTTTTAACAGTATTATCTTAACATTAGTATTTGGGTCCCGCCATAAGCACCCCCCCCCCCCCCCCCCTTCATTGGCAGATAATTGGCTATACCTTACGATATTCGGAATTTTCATCATTTAAGTCACATAATTCGAAGCAATTGTATTAAATGTCGTGTTTGGAGTTCTCTTCTGGTATATAATTGACTGTGTAGGTTCGCATTTTCATATTTCACCATATATCTCTCCTACCCATATTCAGTATTTTAATAATTTTAGGGCCATTTTTCAACTGTTTTAAATATTTTCAAAGTTCCTACCAAACTATTAAGGGTATTAAAAGCTCCTCCCACCGACCTTAGACCCGTTAGTAGACACGTTTTAGTACTAAGTGCTACACCAAGATCGTAGCCCTTTCTTCTGGCCGTTTATGAAACAGGCAGTAACTCATAAATCAATCGATGCAATCGAAAGGCCTTGTTCCTGTTGGTAATATAATCGATTTTTACTGAAACCATCACTTAAACCTCTACTTTGATATCCCATATGGTAACACCCGAAATATTGAGCATAATTCGGAAGACAAAGTTATGTAGGTCCTTGACCTTGAACCCATTTCTATTTGAGCGTTTTTATTTCCTGTGAAATGCATTTGCTGGTCGGTCATAAAAACAATCCTCGAACACACATAATTTAATGTGAAATAAATCAGTGTAAATCCTGGCCGGTCACACCATTAAGCATAACAGGATTAAGGAGTTACCTTTGGTTGGTCGGGTAATAGGTATTCATATTTATGAGATAAGACCTTAGGTTTGGGCATCTCTGAAAATAGCAACAACACGGAATGCAGCCTAAACATGATCCACCCCACCAAAATCACACACACACACACACAGCCATACAACATATGTATGTGTACTTTGGGAAAGATGTGAGGAAATTTTTGTGTACACCATGGATGAAAAATAACCCAAGCCATTCGTTCGTTAGGGTACCTGAGGTGTGGGACTTAAAGAATGTGAGAAAAAACCCGCGGCTCAGACAATGCAATAAAAGTGTGTACATTAAGATGAGATTAGGATGAGTGAATTTATGTTGCAGGCCAGCGCGAACACACACACTCATACACAGAATACCAGCTCCGAATGCTGTATCTGTGTGTTTTGAACAAAAAGGAGTGCATACCTGTTGTTTGCCCATGTTTGCTGAGCCATGAGTTAGGTTGGACGCGCACCAACACATTTGTAGATTATATTTCTCTCTGCTGTTTACCCACACCAAGGCATTTTGCCTGAGTGTGTGTTTCAGACACCAAAGAGAGCGAGAGAGCTGTGAGTGAGTGTGTGTGTGACGGCAGCAACAACAAAATCCACTCAATTCGTGTGATAAGTAAAATTGCCGCATAACCACTCTTTGGAGATCCAGTCAACCAGTTGAAATCTTCTATTCGAACAGAGCGTTTAAGTGACGGTGTGACAGCGTCCGTCTAACGTCGTCGCTAATAAACAAAAAAGCAACAGCAACAAAAATCATAATAATAGAAACAACAAGAAGTGAAATTATCTCCATCAAATGATTATCTCGTTTTAGAGAATAATTTAGCAGTTTTTTAAATGAAGTTTTGTTGAGAAGAAAAATTTCAAAATTTTCGAAGCGCGTCGGTCTAAAACTGGAGAAGAAGATATCGGAATTTGCCAAACCAACCCGCTATTAATATGAAGTTTAAGTGAGAGACCCACGTTGTTCGGTTTACGTTTTAATTTTTTTTTTGGTTCGAATTTTTGTTTTCGGGAAAAGAAAAAGAATCCACCGGTGGCTAAGGGAATACAAACACTGTTCCGCCAAGCAAAAAGAGACTGAGACTTGAGGAGAATTGTGCAAACGAAAGAAAGAAAAACTATTCTGTGATTTTTGTTTTAAAACCCAAACGGCAAGATGTTTGATGTTTTTGGCTCCGTCAAGGGGCTGCTGAAGATCGATCAGGTCTGCATCGACAACAATGTCTTCCGCATGCATTACAAGGCGACGGTAATCATATTGATTGCCTTCTCATTGCTGGTGACCTCCCGCCAGTATATTGGTGACCCCATCGATTGTATTGTGGACGAGATCCCCTTGGGTGTTATGGACACCTATTGCTGGATTTACTCCACATTTACGGTGCCAGAACGTTTGACGGGTGTGACGGGCCGCGATGTTGTGCAGCCCGGTGTGGGCTCGCATGTTGAGGGCGAGGATGAGGTGAAGTACCACAAATACTATCAGTGGGTGTGTTTTGTGCTGTTCTTCCAGGCCATATTGTTCTATGTGCCGCGCTATTTGTGGAAGTCCTGGGAAGGTGGACGTTTGAAAATGTTGGTCATGGACCTGAACAGCCCCATTGTCAATGATGAGTGTAAAAAGGATCGCAAACGTATTTTGGTCCAATACTTTGTGGACAATCTGAATCGCCACAACTTCTATGCATTCCGTTTCTTCCTGTGCGAGGCCCTAAACTTTATCAACGTCATTGGCCAGATTTATTTTGTGGACTTCTTTTTGGATGGCGAATTCTCCACCTATGGCAGTGATGTCTTGAAATTCACCGAAATGGAGCCGGATGAGCGCATTGACCCCATGGCCCGAGTCTTTCCCAAAGTCACCAAATGTACATTCCACAAATATGGTCCTTCCGGTTCGGTGCAGAAATTCGATGGTCTCTGTGTGCTGCCCCTCAACATTGTCAACGAGAAAATCTATGTCTTCTTGTGGTTCTGGTTTATCATTTTGTCAATTTTGTCTGGCATCTCTTTGGTCTATCGCATTGCCGTTGTAATGGGTCCCAAATTGAGACATCTATTGTTGCGTGCCCGTTCCCGCCTGGCCGAAGTCGATGAAGTGGAGGCTGTGGCCAAACAATGCAACATTGGCGATTGGTTTTTGCTCTATCAGTTGGGCAAAAACATCGATCCCTTGATCTACAAAGAAGTGATAGCTGATCTCTCACACGAATTGGGTGTTAATACAAGTCTCAAGCAACGCATGGAGCCCTAAGTGGGTGTGCCAGCAACGACGCCATCATCAACGAACACCACCAACCAACCTAACAACCAACCACAACATGAAATATGTATGAATTTCTTTGATATCAGTAATTTTTAAATTAATTTAAAGACATTTTTTTTAAATAATTTTACAAAAAACGAACTACTTTTAAAATCGAACTCGGAAAAAAAGGGCGGGAGCTATAACGACAAGATAGACATCAATTTTTTGGGGAAAGACAATGACGACGAGACAAAAAGGAAAATATCACAAAATTGCTGTGAGGTTTTTTTTAATTATTTCTATTTTTTGTTAGAAGTATTAAGTAAGACAAGACGACCGACCACAAGACACAACAATTTTTATAGATAACAAATTTTTACGAAACGAAAAAAATATATTTTTTATATAAAAAAATAATTTTTAGAAAATCGAAATGCCACAAAACATGCAAAAATACCCCTAATTTTTAAATTAAGCTAAGAGAATACCAACCCCCAAACAAAAAAAACCTAATAAAAATTGTATAAATTTAACAAAAAAATTAAAAAAAAATCCAAAAAATCTAAATTTTTATTTTTTTTTTCAAATTCAAAGAAAAATGCTAAAAAAAATTGTGAGGAGGGAAGGCCTCATGCAAACCACACAAAACAACTCAAAAATTAAACTCCAAATTCGGAGAGAGAGAGAGAGAGAGAGAAATTTCACTCAAGTCACTTGAGTCAAATAATAATAAAAAATAGTCTGGGAAAAAGGGAGAGAGAGAGTGAGAAAGCAGAGGCAACATGAAAATTGTTACTCCCAATTTGCTAGCAATATCAAGGCAAGAGAAAGCTAGCCCCAGAGAGAGAGAGAGAGGGAGAGAGTGGAAAACAAAAAACTCTTTCGAAATTCAGAAACAACAACCACAAACCATGGTTGTTGTTGTTGTTATTGTTTTCGAATTTGGTTTCGAAGAAACCCTATAATGCTTGGCTTGGCATTACATGGGCCAGGCATTCTTACCTTATAACACAGATAAAAAAACACACAAGCCAACTAAGAAATTCAATATGGCTGCGCATGCGCCTTGCCACACTTCTGCTGCTTCTTGCCAAGCCAAACCATATCTACATATTGTATTGATCAGAATGAATAACTAGTTACAACAATGGAACCCTATTTATCTTCTACACACACACGCACACTCTCACATAACAATATGTAGAGAGACAAAAGACTCACATAAATATAATGGATCTTGGCTGGCTTCACGAGGTTGGCTGCTTGTTTCCAGGTGAACTATCTATGGCCAAAGATCTTCTTTACACAATGTCGTTGTCGTGCCGACGATGATAGTCTTCATCACAAAACAGGTTTAACAAGCTTCTCTTTATATATATCTCCCCCTCCCTCCTCACTTCTCCATAGGTATTTCTTTAACTGTGATTTGTTTTCACATAGCTCTTCATCTCTAGTCCCCCAAAACCAAAAAAAAAAAAAAACATTAAAACAAAAGGCCCAAAACGAAATCTTAAAACAAGTTCATGGCTATTTGCATCTTAATATAATGGTATTTCTTCTTCTGGCCGGACCATAATTTATTTTCTTTCGTTTCTTTTCTTTCATTTCCAAATTCTTGTTAAGTGCTGGGCAATGGGGGAAGAAGATCTGAAAACCAGCACACTTTGGTCGGGACCAATCAGCCGCCCATTGAACGAAAAACAAAAAAACGAAACCCATCGAAACGTAATACAGGTTGTTGTCCACAGGGCTACCTGTATTCAACTGAAACACAACGTAAGACAGGTTTTCAATTCAATTTGGTATTAATGGGCAGAGAACGAGAGATAGATAAATAGCTGACCATAAAATCGAAATAAAATCCAGAAGAAATGAGAAGAATTTCAATCTAGACGAATAAAGATTTAAGAGAACTTTATGGGCTAAGGAAGTCAAAAATATTATTTAGATTTTCTTGATTTTCAATAAAAATTCGATCTTTCAGAGCCAGTTTTTGTATGGCGTTAAGAAGTGAATGCCAAATGAAAACAGCAATCCAAATAAGATTTTCTTTTTTTTTGAATTAAATTCTAAATTGGAACCAGTAAAGAAAGTCTTAAAGTCGGGCGGGGCCGACTAATTTGGGTGTATATGCAAGATTCCATACCATTCGGACTGACATTACACGTTTGGTGCACAATAAAAGCCAAATCGGACGAAGATATATATGGGAGCTATATCTAAATTTTGACCGATTATCTCCAATTGCAATAGGGTTCGTCCTTGGTCCAAACAACTGAGTTGTGCAAAATTTCATCTGGATAGGGCAATATATGCGAACTGTACTTTGTTTACCAAAATACATGAACAGACGGACGGACGGTGATTCTATGCAGATCATCAAAAGGAACTATGGGTCTATATCGTTTCCTGCTGCCTATTACAAACAAATGCACAAAGACATAATACCCTGACCTCCTTGTGGTGTAGGGTATAAAAATGCAATTGGACTTTGTCGAATTAGTCTAAAGTCGATTTTCTATTTTGACTTTCAAACCAAAGTAGATTTTAGATTATTGAGGAGTCCTTTCGCCAAAAGATAAAAGTATTTTGGTGGTTTAACAAATAGTCGTATTCGAATTTTAAGTACCAACAATTAATTTAAGGCCGCCTTTGGTATCTCTAGTTCAAATAAATTTCAATTGGTATGTCCAATATCACCTTTAACTCAAAGTTCTACTTTTTAATATTTCGAATTTATCCAATTACGATTTTCGATTTTTACTGTTACAAATATGTAATATAGGACTAAAAAATACGCAAATGGTTTCATTTTATGTGGCTTGTATGAAATTGAAAAAGTCCACCAAACATGCATGATCTCAAAATCAATATCGAAGATCGACTTTGTGGATTTCGACTTGAGGACCTTTCATTACTAAAAGTCGATCTGCATATTTATTTTTCATTTATTGATTATTAGCAAGAGCTCGCTATTACGTCAGCAAAAAGACCAGCTGAAAATTTTAAAATTCGTTCCAACAGCACAATTCGTTTGATTTGACATTTTTTTTTAATGATCGTACTAAATTTTCAGACTTACAAGGTGTTACATATTATTCAAGTTTTTTTCCATTTTTCGGAAAGAATAATAGGAAAATCATTACCTTTTACACCAAAAAAGTCTTGACATTTTTTTTTTTTCATTTTGAAGTTTATGGTGAAGGATATTAGTAAAATGTTCTGTTCAAAACTATTTGTACGTCTCCATATGTAAACAATAGAAGCAACCACTGACGTCAATATCAAATTTCGGTAATTCAGCTATATACACTCACTCAAAACATCTTTTCATCCTAGACACCAACAGTGACACAAAATTAGTACAATTTAGTACTTTTCGAACAATTATAGTACACATTTCCAAAATCAGCTCCATATCTCAATTTCAGATACCAACAGAGACCTCAATATCAAATTTGAGTATTCCAGCCGTGTGCAACACCCGATGATAAATTTAGTTCAATTTTGTACTCTTCGAACAACTATAGTACGCATTTCCAAACCCAGCTCCTTATCTCCACCTTAGACTTAAGCAGTGACCTCGATATTAAATTCCGGGATTCCAGCCAAATCCAAAATCAGCTTCATATCTCAATTTCAGATACCAACAGAGATCTCAATATCAAATTTGAGTATTCCAGTCCTGTGCCTACACCCGAAGATAAATTTAGTTCAATTTTGTACTTTTCGAACAACTATAGTACGCATTTCCAAACCCAGCTCCTTATCTCCACCTTAGACTTAAGTAGTGATCTCGATATTAAATTCTGGGATTCCAGCCAATGAATTTAGTTACACTTACCACTTTTCGAACAATTATGGCACTCATTTTCAAAACCACCTCCACACATTTCCGAAACCAACTCAAAATCTTCACTACAGACAGTGACTATATATCAGGCTTTCAGCTCTAAATTTAGTACTAATTAGTACTTTTTGTGAATTATAGTACACATTTCCATATCTCAACCTCAGATACCAAAAGTGACGTCAATATCAAATTTCAGCATTCCAGCCCTATCCATTCACCCAATACAAAATTTAGTACTTTTTGTACAAATTAGGAAACATTTTCAAACCACCTCCAAATCTCACACACAGATACCATCAGTAATCTAAATATCAAATTTGAGTATTTCAGCACTATTCATTCACCCAATAGCAAATATAGTACAATTCAGTACATTTCGTACAATTTTAGTACAGATTTCCGAAACCACCACCAGGTTACACATGAACAGGGGCTCTAATACCAGATTTCAAGCACTATCTGTTCACTCAATACCAAATCGTATTATCACTGGCCTACGTATCAAAATTGACAAAAAGACTCGTGCAAGATTCTAGCTTCATTCGTTTGGTCTTGGCGTTGATTCTCAGTCCGTCAGCAATTTCGCTACTCTTTTTTATGTATATAGATAAACTTGGTCGTCTATATAATTATTCAATTGTATTTTTGCGAATAATTTCCCTATAGTCTTTTGTGAAAAAATAGGCCTTTCAAATCTCTAAGAAAAAAGAGAGAATCGGGAATTCCCGTCAATTTCCACTTTTACAAGACATGACATAAAGATCGAATTGAACGGGCGACTCTTTATTGTTCCTATACCCATAACGGGTAAAAACTATAAATTTCAAATCTCTTCGAATTTTAGACATCCTAATATTTTCATTAACACAAGATATGGTGTGAAGATATAGAATATATATCGGCCCACTCCTTTCAGAACCTCACAAGATCTGTTATGTAGATGATATATATCAATCCAATTCTTCTGGTACCTCCCCCAAAAAAGGGTCATAAAATGCGAAATAAGCATCTGATACTTCCGTAATTTCATACATTCCAATATTACTACAAGATTTGATTTTAAAGAGGATAGATATCAGTCCACCACTTCTGGTACCTCCTCCATATGGGTTTAACAGCTCGAACAACTAGATACCTAAAAAATAAATTATAAATACCTATATACCTAACTTCAAACGAATTCGGTTAAAAATTGCGACTGAAACTTTCTAAATACCGAGCATTTGAAG